CAATGGTCACTCATTCTTGGGGGCCAAAGGGATTTTATTCCTTTTGTGTCTGAGTCCGCAAGGTTAATGGATCATGGCACAGACTCCGCTTCCAATGTTTCGAACTGATTCAAGGAGGTAGGGAGACTGTTGCTCCGTGCCCATAGAAGCCGAGTATACCCTCAGTAATTTTAAAGTATGTACTACAAGACCACTGCTGAAGGTTCTTGAGATCGCGCGCTGAATCGCAACACCATAAAATATGGGATTCCCTGCAGATAATATTTTCGCATATCGAAGCCAGGCAAACCCATTTCTTAATAGGGAGTCGCCAGGAACCCTTGATCAATTACACAAACGCCCACGCTTCGTCTCGTATAAAATTTCCTCATCGCTTCCTCTTTTAACACAGCATGAGCGTACACGTTGCTATCCCGCATGCTATTGTCTCTAGCAGGTTAAAAAATGCAAAGCGTTTTTATGGGCTAACGCCACAACCTCATTGGCTGCGGAGCCAGATAATAAGATGCTCGTAGTTCGCCACACTCCGCGTTCTTGTAAGCTGACAGTTACTGCAAAAATATCAACTTAAACGCTCACACGTTTTATTCAGTTAGAGGAAAATTTAAACAATCAACCTGCCCGTGGAACGCGCGCCGAGAGCTACGTCGTCTCCTTTTCCTCACTTTGCACCAACAGACCTGTCCTTCTCGGTTCAGAATAAGTTATAACATCCCCAAGCCCCGCTGATCGGTTCACGACGTGCAAATGTCTCGGCTGTACGCCAAACTCCGTTCTTCCCTTTTGTACGCGTATCACCTTCAGGGGCGTTTTCCAATCAGCGCGTAGCACCACCGTCACCCGCTTGTGGTCTCGCTCCATGCGCGAGCAAGCAGACCGTCACCCCTGGTATAGGTGCACGTCAAGTTTTCTCGCGGAATGGCGGGACGACAAGGGTCAGGTCGGTGAATGGCAGGCTGAAATTCTCCGAGGAAAACGGGTGGGCGTCGAAGATGGGGGACACTGCCGGAGGAATCTGTGGCTGACCGTGGCTCGAAATAGCCGCTCAGGGCGGCGCAGTTGACAGCTCGTCAGGGCAAAACCGTTCCTCGTCTGGAGCAGCCGGGCCGCTTCCTGCGTATATACGCTGGCCGGCGTTTGCTGGTCCATGCGACGACGGTTCGTCCTTCCTTTTATAGACGGCTGCGGAGGAAAACGACGCCGCCCGGACAAGGAGGTGAACGTAGGAGCAGCTTTGTTACACGCCCCATTATACACACATTTGCGGCGACCCGGCAGTGTCGCCGTGAAAGCAAGTTCCCAAGCTGTCCTCGCCCCTTTCCGGACCGTTGAACCCTGGAATTGACTTTCCAATTTGCCCGAACCAATTATACTTCGCGTTATATTACGCCTGTATTTTTATCTCATAGATGCGAGAGGCACTGAGGTAGGTCACAGTCATAATTTACTCAAGTAAAAGCTGAAACTACTTTTTTAATATATTGTGTTGCTATTTGTTTTAAAAGTGCTCGTCCGTGCGTTCGCGCTTCTCTAGCGTTATTGCTTTTCTGTACTATCATTGCATCTATGTTCTGTCCTCTCTATATGTAAACAGGCCGTGTAAATTCATGTTTTTTTAGAGCGCAGCTCTTAGGCGCCCGTTTCGGGCTTAAGCGACGCCGCGGTCGGCGTCGGCGTAATCGCGCGGTGCATTATGGGAAACGTTCCATAATGCACCGCGCCGAAACGTCACGTGACGACGCGCGTTTCGCGCGTGAAAGAAGAAGGAGGGGAGGAGGAGAGGCTACGCATGAGGAGGAGGGGCATTTCCTCCCCTCAGTACGTTCCCCTCCTCCTCCTCAAGAGCTGCGCTCTAGATCGGCGTTACAGGAACTTGCAAGCGTCTTTTCTTTTGTAGTTTCTAACTATTAATCATTCGCGTGCTTCAGTTAAGTGTAATTGTCACTGCACATCAAACCTCAGTTGCACTCCCAGAAAAAGGGAGTAGTCGTACACATGTTGTCCCATATATTTCACCCCAAAACGTTCGTTCGACGTACAGCTCACTGACGTCAAACCGACGGCCCCAACTTTTACGAGAGGCTTGATAACGATGCGATGGGACGTATTAAGTAGCTAAAGTGCGAATCAACGACCGCAAAAGAAGACGCTGAGTTTTTGCACTAGGGCCACGAAACCCCCGTGTATTATGTTTTGTTTGTAGTCAGTAATACGTACCTTAGCTATTTTAATAAGTTGTGCCTCTCGGCTATTAAGGCGCCCGTGAAAGTTGGTACCGTCGGTTCGACGTCAATGCGCTGTACCTCGCACTGAAGTTTCCGGGTGTTTTATTATATAGGACAAGGGGTCTAAAACTATATTATTTTTTATGAGATTGTACTAGAGCACATTCGTCTCTTCAGTAGTCCAAGACCAGTACTACAAATTATACTATGCCCTATGAAACGTAATGCATACATGCTACTTGCCTATCAGACATGCCTCTGATCTCGACAAGCCCACGAATAAGGCCACCCGATAGCTTCTCACCGAATACACGCTCACTGTGCTGTAACTGGAAATGTCTCATTTCCACTTACAGTCAAAACTTCGAGTATCAAGCAAACTTTTATCTTGTTTATCATATATGACGAAAATTGACCTAATTATAGTTTCGCGAATTTAGTCTCAGAGAAATTTTGAACCAATAGCAATACCACCATCGTCCACTACACAGCCTAGACACACCTCTTACCTTCCGCTCGCCATACGGATATTCAAAATCACTGGAGGCACTTCCGAATAGGGTGCGGTGGGAAGTAGTGCGTCGACGCGGTTCCTCCGTTCAGTAAAAATAATATACTCTGAAAAATGTGTCAGTTGTATAGTTCAAGGAAAGGTATCACATGTTCTGTTCGAATGTGAACCAAGAATAACAGGTACCGCAGCGGACATTAGGGGGGGGGGGGGCAACTTTCTTCTGCTTAGTACTTTTGTCAAGGACGCAACGAACCAATATCTTAGGGGGTACTAAGACCTTGGCATTGCTTTAAACGACTATGTAACTTTCATTTATTCCATCATTTTAGACAATAATTATGTGACTTGACGTCATTACATGGTCATACACTCATGCTTAAGCGCATTATCATATTTCGCCTCATATTTCTCCCTAATTGCAGTCTTTTCACCCGGTCTCAACCCTACCATACAAATGACGTTAAGGTAACATCCCTCTCTTGCCTTCAGAAGCTTCTTTTTTTCACTTCAATGTGCCTGTTGCGAATTATATTGAAAGACAAACTGTTAATCGAATTTAATTTTAGTATCTTATCTGCAGCTTAAGATGCAATATGTTTATGAGGATGACAAAACAAAACAAAAAAGTCGTCGAAGCTGGAGGAAACTTGAAAAGAGACTCGCTGGAAGCCTCAGAAACGCAGCTGGGGTATCGCTAAGAAATTTATGCCACTCTTTTACGTGCATTTAAGTGCCTTCATATAAATCTTCTTCTTTTTTCTTTTTTTTCCCCTTTTTTAGAACCTACGAGTCAGCGCTTGCTGGGGGACACGCGAAAAGTCGGGATAGAGAAGTGACTTAGTGATTTTTGTAAAGGAGTTTGTCCTGAAGGCCGTCGAATCGTTATTGGAAAAGAGCTAACCGAACTCTCCAAAAACATTCTCTTAGAGACACCTTTGCTGACACCACACGACTTCCAAGAGGCTCCTTTTTAGTAATGTGACGACAAAAAGATTGCTCTGTTTTATGTGTTTAGCACTTGAACGTTGGCGATTACGCGGACATGTTACATGCCTACTGGGTCTTTGGGGCAGTTCTCGATATTCGCAATGCCGACATCATTGTAAAAGGGCATACTCAAATTGAGTGAACACTTGCAAACAACTAATGAGATACATACTGCTCGACCGTATACGTTCTGTGCGTCTAAAATCTAAATATATCACAAGTACCGTCAGTACCTTTGCGAGTTGTGAACATAAGAAAAATGGCGAACGCAAACAGTGGTGACATTCGCTTTGCCAGCCACATTTGTTTTTAGTTTAAGTGATCAATTTCTTTCTTTCACAAGTCATCCAGAGATGGTCACGTTGCATGGTGCTGACTGGGAGACAGGTGTGAAGTCTAGTTGAGTAGAATGCGTCGTTTCCAACCGGAAACATTTTATCATTTTCTCGACAATTTTGATATAAACGAAACATTTTGTTTTAAGCCGTATATATTGTTTTTTCTCTTTCAATTGCCCATGATGACAACTTTGTATGCTGAATAAATTGATCCTTCCCTTATGCTTTGTTTGTGTCTCCCGATTTTAAAAACAAAGACTCACTGTTATCAACCATATGTACAAAACTTTATTTTACAACCGCAACATAATTACACGACGTCTGGTAACAGTATATTACAAAGCAGGATGACAGTCTTCTGTTGACCTTCTTGGGCTCCCTTTCACGCGGAAAGAGCGGCTCCTGTGGTGGCGCCTGGTCCAAACACGACTGGGTCTGCGGAGCGATGATCTCACGGGACAGTCTTTATCCCCCTGCAAAAATGGAAATGGCAAGGTGAATGTATAGGGCACCGAGGAAAAGACGGCAGCGAACTCTGCAACGGGAAAAGCACGAACCATCACAGCATTCGTCCTTCCCCCTTCAATCTGGGTTTTTCTATGCACTCACAATCAGTCAGTCTATATAAACGCTTCTCAGACAATTATAAACGTCAGATCGCAGCTTCTTAGTTTTTTTGTTTTTTTTTTGTTCTCTTCAGCTCGTCGGTTTAGCTGTCCATCGAGGAGAAACTAGGTTAATCAATGTTGTTCCGCCAGTTGGAGATACCCAACTTTACGTTTTATCGGCATCATATTACCGACCTAACCGTAACTCCCAAAGATCGTGCCCCTTCACTAGTCCACTAAAAGTTGAGTTTCTCGTCACTTTTTGTTTTGTCCCGAAGCACCAAACGAAGAAGGTCACCTGAATGAAGCAATGACTACCTTTGTTTTCCTACTGCCATCCACCCCCGTGGTGTCCGCCACCACCTCCGCCTCCTCCTCCGAGTCCACCGACGGCACCGGCAGCTTCGATCACTTTGACTGGAACCACGCTGAAGCCTGCTCCTCCGTGACCTCCACCACCGCCTCCTCCGCCATGACCGCCTCCGTAACCTCCGCCACCGAAGCCTCCTCCGCCTCCACCGTGGCCTCCTCCGAACCCTCCACCGTGACCTCCACCACCGCCGCCTCCGTGATGCTGAACATTCACGCTGAGCACAGCCACATTGTCACCACCGCCTCCGCCTCCATGTCCACCCTCCGTGTGTGTGTCAGCCGCCGTTCCTAACGGAATCTTGTGAACAGTCTCGGCGACCTCTACCCTTGGGTGGGGGAACACGCTTCCGCCGCCGCCTCCTCCTCCACCGCCGAAACCACCGCCTCCAAAGCCACCACCGAGTCCTCCGCCGAAGCCACCACCACCGAAGCCACCGCCCCCAAAGCCGCCTCCACCGAAGCCACCTCCGCCGAAGCCGCCACCGCCGAAGCCACCTCCGCCGAAGCCACCTCCGCTAAAGCCTCCACCACCAAAGCCGCCCCCGCCAAATCCACCACCACCGAAACCTCCTCCACCACCGCCGCCACCGCCATCGACCCTCTGGATCTCAGCAACGTGAACGGATGGTTGCGTTACTCTCGGGATTCCTTGTGGGAAGCTAATCCTAGGGCCTGGAACGTTCGTGGCCACCATGATGGGTTCCACGAGGGAAATGCTGTTTCCGGTGGCGACGAGGCCCTGCTTGTACTTGATGGGAAGGGGTGTGCGGTCGATTTGGGCCGTGTACCGGGTCACGGGCCTTGGCGCTGGACCTCCGCCTCCGCCGCCGCCACCTCCGGCAACGGAAACAACGATGGTCTTGCTGGCGCCTCCGCCACCGCCGCCTAAGGAAAAAGAGAACGAGCAAAGGCCGTCAATGTTTGTCCTCCAACGTGCAAGGAAGTTGAATGTCTCGGTTCTACGCTTATCTCAGCTTGCTAAAATTGGGGGGCCCTCTAATAAGGAAGACGCTTGAAAACTCGAGTGATCTGTTACACAATGGGTAGTGTAAGAAAGCTGAAATACGCAGTGCCTAGACTTCACGAGTGTTTTATGTGGTACCTCTGGTTTTTAGATGTATTTCAGATGTCTATTATTGTTCTGATGAAGTTTGAGTTTAGGGCATATCCGCAAGACCAGGATGATGCGACAGTCTTGATCATGGGAAAGATATTCAGCATCAAGAACAACTAAACATTCCGTTGTAGGTTTGAGAGAGCTAAAAAATTCACCGGCTTTCAGGTAGAACGGGGAACTTACCTCCAAAACCACCGCCGCCTCCGAATCCGCCACCTCCAAATCCGCCACCGCCAAACCCTCCACCGCCGAAGCCTCCGCCTCCGAATCCGCCGCCACCATGTCCACCCCCGTATCCCCCGCCACCGCCTCCACCTCCGACGTCACCCGCCGTCGAGATGACGACGCACAGCGCCAGCGTCAGCACCTGAAAGTGAAAGCACCCGGGCGGACCGCTTAAAATCTCGCGCTGCGCGTACTTCCAGGCCTCAGGGGGCCCCCCATGGAATCCAGTTGGAGGCCCATCGCCCGCTTGCGTCTGAGGCTCTTGTGTTTACCTTGAGCGGGTTCATGTCGGCTGGGTTCTCGACGACTCCCGCGGCCTACTGATGTCCTCACCTGCGGGGGCACTAGGCATTTATACGGGGTGCACCGCAGCGCCCTCCTTGAGCAGCGGACCTCGCCACTCTCTGTAACGAGGAAGAAGAGAAAGTCTGCGAGGAGGGAAGGCCAACGACGACGATGCCAGGGAGAGGGGCTGAGATCTTCCCGCGGCCCGGATGGAGGAGCAAAATATCCTTGCTGCCGGACAGGCGAGAATAGCCATGCCTTCTCTCTCGAGTCCCGTTCTCTCGGGCAGCGGGACAAGATGGTAGCATCCACGGAGGGGAGGAGGTACCTCTCCGCCGTCCGCTGGAAGGGACGGGTCTCGACCTCTAACGAGTTTCCTCGGGCGAAAGTGGAAGTTGGGACGAAACCGAAAGCGGACGGACGGCGTGTGGGAGATGGTGCACTTCCCTGTTGTCTTGGGGCTCTCCGGCTGAGCCCGCTTGGCGTACGCGATCGCCTCTTGGATGGCAACTTGCGCACGCGCGCGCGCGCTCCGACCACACGCAGTTGGCAAGGTCTTTTTATGAACGGGTTTTGATGTTGGCGTTGCGGTTGATCCTTATCTTAGAAAAAAGGGCGTAGACAGATCGATTGTTTTTATTGTTGTTTTTCTTTGCCCCTGATGGGGAGAGAATAGCCCGGTTTACCCCTATTCATCACTGCGAGCACTTTTTGGGCTTGTCGGAGAAAACGGACTATATATGGTGCCTTGCTTTTCGGTGCCTGTGATTTTCTCGTAGTTTATGAGCTGCTGACAGAACTGGACCATCGGGGTTAGAGACGTTAACAAGTTTCCTGCTTAGCGACTGCTTCTCCCAGCTTAGGCCGCTGACTGAACTATATTACCCACTCTGTTTATGAGGTTAGTCTGCGAGGATAAAAGTTGGACGCCGTTTGCACAAAACCTGCTCTTCTTAAATCATTTACGTCTTTTATTACATCAACTTGTACATGAAGTCAGGAATGATCCGAACGCTCATCTTAATCCGACTTGATATTGAATAGAAAGACGCGTTACTCCTCTAGGTTCTTCTGGATCACTCTTTGTTTTTTTGTACCGTGAGCTCTCAGTCTTCGAGCCAGTTTCGCTCAATTGCTGTAATAACTTAACTCCTCTACCAAAGTTATTATATTTAGAATAACTTTAACTCCTTCTAACTTCTATAAATATTTCGTCGTATTGAACAACTTTGGCTTCTTTTCCAACTTTGTGTTTAATTGCTCTCGCGACGAGGAAGCACTTTGTTGATTGGTTTACGTTTACTAGAACAATTTCAATCATTTGCATTATATTACAAACACTTTAACAAACCTCTAATATTTATAGTTGATAAAGCGTCGTCCGTTGCGCTCACAAAACTAAAACTGCACAGCATAGAAAAGATTGACAAACTATGTTGTCAGCACTTATATTTGTATTATAAGAAAAACGCAAAAGATTAAATTACTATGCAATACGATTAGGTCATAACCATACACGACGTTAAAAATCTGACTGAGCCGTGACGGACCACAAAAAAGACGACATTATCGGAATATGTATGCCGAACATACAATATAAATATGTACAATAATACGTTTTTTTTTAATACCATAGAAAAAAAAAAACGTAACTTCGTGTAAGTGGGGTTTCCTCTTAATACGACCTCTTTGACTGTTCTGTGCGTTTGTTTTGGTTAAGCTGTCTGGTTTCGCCTGTCAAGCTGTCTGTCGCTCCAGGAAAAGAAAGGTCGGGCCGCGAGGTCTGGGTCACGCTTGCGGGGTCACGCTCAAGGTAAGTCAGAGCAGACAGCGTTGTCCCTGACAACCAGTAAAGAGAAACACGACAGTCAGAGATCGGGAATCTTGCTAAAATGGTTAATCTAGGAGTCGCATGAAAGTTTCGCTCAGTGTATATACACTCCCCCCTTCCCCCTCCTTTGACCTACGCCGCCACTATGGCTATTCGTTCGTTTTCATCACGTGACATTTGCTTACGTGATAGCCGCCTGCTGGCCCGCTATTTAGCTGCCAGAGCTGTGTGTGACAGGCAGTAAGGGGAAACTATAGACAGTCAGAGATCATGAATCTTGTTCAAATTATTCATCCAAGAGTCACTATAAAGCTGTACTTAGGGTATCGACCCTCTTTTCCCCCACTGTCTGACACCGCGCTGCGATGGTCATTGCTCCGTTTGAGTCACGTGAAATCTGTTAGTGTTGTAATCCATCAAGGGCACCGCCATTTTCGCACCAGAGCCGCACGGGCGCCGTTTGTCACGGTTATGATTCTGAAATACAACTCTGTGAATAAATTTGTATTTCTATAATTAAGTAAACAGCGTAGTCGGTTTGTCCTTCCCGGCTAAAAGTAAATGCGATTGCAGTAACTTTATGATTGATATGATTATAACCTATTCCTCCAGTTGTTATACGCAAAAAGGATAAATTGCAAAGAAAAGAAAATAGAAATGATAATCATCTAAGACATAAACGCGCAATTTTTTTTAAATTCACAACAAAGCCGCACAGCACTAGGTGAACTGAATGTAACGGCACAGATAGGCTACTAAATATTAAAAATGACAAAACCCCCAAGACTGCGTGCAAAAGCGACACATAAACATAAAGGTACAAACCTCGCCCCCATTTTGAGACCTCTTAGTATATCTGTCGTTACCCACAGTTTCAGGCTTGTTGTCAAGTAGGCTTATGTGCCTGCTAAGCCTTGGATATGAAAACTTTAGACTGCTTACATTATCGCAGATGTATGTGGTAGTTCATTTGTGACTGAATGAACTTTTTGTGATGTTTACGTGCAGGTGTGGCACTAAGAAAGCGACTAAGTTTACTCAACTTCAATGCGCCGCCGACCTTACGCCACTGGTACGCATCGGCATGTTCGTGCAAGAGTTGTTTATTTATTGTTATTTATTCAAATGAAAGTAAATTTGCTAGCTTTGACGTGACGGCGCTATCATAAATAACAAATGTATATCATCTGTGGCTGAGAAATGTAATAAAAGCGCTCTGTGTTTTGTCATTTCTAATCCCGAAGTGAGGATAATTGTGCATTTGCTTGAAGTGTCATAAAAGTTCAACCAAGCATAGCTTCTTTTCAACTCAGAACTGTATCGTAAGGATTGTGCTTTCTGCGAACGTAATAAATGCATCGGTTGAAGGTAGTACTGCCGGAGGACGGCATCGATATTGAGCAGTGTGTCGAACCGAAAAAAATACGGGTTCGGTTACGGTTCAGGTTCAGGTAAATTTATTTTGTTCCGGTTCAGTTCCGGTTTGATTAATTCGATCCGCGAACCGGTTCGCGAACCGGTTCGGGGCGCTGAACCGGTTCGGAAATTATAAATAAAAAATTGCAACATCAAAATAAATTACAAATAAAACATCTGAAATCAGCACATACGAAACGGTATACATCGTAATGTAAGGCTCAGGGATTTCTACCAGGAATGGTTTCTTTATGTGTACTCAAAGGTTACCTCACCGACGTTTACGCATTCGGACTTCATCTAATTGGGTCCGACGCAGTAGCTGTAAAATCCGCGACCTCCTTACAAACCCACTTACAAGTAGAACTCGCTAACTATCCCGCCACCTCGGCGTGTAAGCAATTGAAGGAACAGTGGGGAGAAAATACAGCTTTCTTTATTTGAACTAGCCTTCGGTAACTCAAATTAGACCCTTAAAGAAGTTTTCATTAAACAAGATACGAAATATGAAAAACACTTCACCGAACGCAACGCCAGAAGGACGTAATAGGATAAATTTTAAAATAGAAGAGTTCGCTATCTCACAAATATGTTAGCTTCTAAGTGCCTATACGAAACCGGCTGCATTATTATCAAACTCCACAGCCTTTTCTTTTCTCATTCCGATGGAAGCAAGCTTCAAGAACTCGCGCGTTCTAGAAACGTGTTATGGAATGAGCACATAGCAGCATTTAGGATTTACGAGATTGTAAAAAAATGAAATCTCGTGACGCGATTTTTTTTTTTTTTTTTTTTTTGCACAGCCTTCTAATTTTCTTTCTTGCGTGCAAGCCACGACCAGCGCAATACAGGTTCCTATGTCAAGATTCATGGATGCAGCGTTTGTCAAGATTCATGGATGCAGCGTTTATATTCCTAAGACTGAGTGGAGAAGAAAAATATGTAAGCGGAGGTGTGTGTCAGTTGACGGCACTTAAAGAACAAATGGCATTGATAGCACATTCATTGTCAACAGCGCGTTGCCGAACCGTTTTGACATGAGCCGGTAACCGTTATTTTTTTTCCGGTTCAGCTCCGGTTCGGGTTCATCGCGATAACAATATAACGGTTCGGGTTCGGGTTCAGTTCCGGAAAAAATACCGGTTCGGTTTCGGTTTTCGGTTGGGTTCCAGTTCGACACCCTGATATTGAGGTAGCCAAAAAAAGAGACGCTAAGTGGGTATTTATTGTAATAAAACAAGAGAGCATAGCAGACTGAAGCTGTAGTTTCCATACATGTCATACAGGCACGAACCGCTCCAGAGCGACAGGAGTGAGCGGGTGAGTTAAGTATATAGAAATCATGCTTATTTATTAGGGTGTTTTCTTGTGTTAGGACTTTCGAGAGTTGCGTCGGCATTGTTTTTTTTAGGTTTCTTTGTGGGTGTCGGCGTTTTGGAAGGAGCGTTTGCGTGGGCAGAGCGGCCGAGATGCGGGAGCGGTTCCCCCACCGGTCGTTAAGA